ACTGTGGCTCTGGGTGAAAGAGAGGACTTTGTTGAAGTAGGTCTGATGATGGCAGGATCCTCCAAGGTCAAGCTACTGCCATGTTGCTTACCTGTAACTAATTATCTTTGCGTGGTTATCTGTGCAGTCACACGGGGTACTGTGCCTGCTCCAAACCTCAAAGGATTGCAAAGCTTTCCTTTGTCGCCTTGGCACGCTTTCTCCTAAAGCCCTGTGCATGCCCGGAGCAGAGAAGGCACGTCCCTCTCAGTCCCTTTGACTGCCTCTGTTAAGTCCTGTCAACCAAAGTAAGTGAATGAGAGATGCCAGCAGTGGGGAAGGCTGGGCGGGCATGTGGGACTGCACAGGTGACCACTCGAAGATCATCAGTTACAGGTAAGCAACCTGTTTATCTTCTTCGTGGTCTCTGTGCAGTCCCACACATGGGTGACTAGCGAGCTGGATCAAATCAGGAGGGTGGGTGCTGGCAACTAAAAAGCAAAAAGAGAAAGTTACCAACACAGAACAAACAGCCAATGAGCTTACCTTGTGTTACAGAGCAGGGTCTGTCGACTGGAAGAGAGACTGCAGCACCATGTGACCAAAGGGGCATCCCGACGAGCCCGGAGGTCGAGACGATAATGGAAGATGAAGGTCGATGGAGAGGACCAGGTCACTGCATTACATATGTCTTCAAGGGATGCACTGCCCAGGAGAGCTGCAGAAGTTGAAACTTCTGTGGAGTGGAGTGGAGTGAGCTCAAAGGTGAGTAGGCAAGGGTTCATGCACCAACTCATAATATAAAGTGACTGCCGAAACAATCCATGTTGCCAGTCTCTAAGAGGAAACCGTCAAGCCCTTTCGCAGATTGCCATATGCAACAAAATGATTAGGGTCCTTGTGGAAGGGCTGAGTGCGAGCAAGATGGAAGTAGAGAGCATGATGAACATCCAGTGAATGTAAGGTGCGCTCAGCATTATCAGAAGGATTTTGGAAAAAAGCTGACAGAGTAGTTGTTTGCGATAAATGGAAGGGTGAAATGACCTTCGGTAGGAAGGTAGGATTCAGACGAAGGATGACCTTGTCTTTGTGGAAAACAAGATATGGGGGATCCACCCAGAAAGCAGACAAATCACTGGAAAATTTGGCCAAAATGATGGCGATGAGAAACACCATCTTCCATGAAAGGAGATTTAGGGGAGCTGAGGCCATTGATTCAAAGGGCTTTCCCATAAGTTTTGCTAGGACAAGAGAGAGACTCCAGCTAGGGACACAAGGCTTCACTGGGGCATAGAGATGAATCAAGCCCTTTAGAAACAACTTCGTAGTGGAGTGAGAGAATAACGGGCAACCATTGACAGGGCACTGAAAGGCCAAAATGGTGGCCAGGTACACCTTTGATGGACGAAAATCCAAGACCAGACTATTAGAGAGAGACACCAAGGCCCTGGTCACACGGGAGGTTTTGGCCCGCAAGAGGGACGGATTGGGAGTGCAGCAAATGGGTGCGATCACACCGCAACATCTGGGAAGCAGCGTGCACCCGTCCCCAATCCGTCCCTTCAGGCCAAAAACGCGCAGTAAAAAAACCCCGAGGAAATAGTAGGACCAACCTGAAATGCCGCAGCAAGCATAGCCGTGGGATCGCCGGAGCACCCGTCTTCAGGAGCATTCGAGGCTCCCGGCCGAACTGCGTATGCGTACACATGCACAGCCGGCTGCCTCGCTCTCCCTTCCGTGGCTTCCCCCCCAGCATCTGATCGTGCTGGGGAGCAACTGCGCGGCGGCTCAGGGGATCTGTCTGATCCCGCCACCATGTGTCTCTTTTGGTGCGGCTCTAAAAAGCCGCACTTTGTCCGCGTCAATTTCCCCCATGTGACCGGGGCCCAAGTAGGAAGGAACAGTAGGCACAGTAGCCATCACAGGATCAAAGTTTTGACCAGTGGCGTAGCAGGAAAACTGTTCCACTTAGCAGCGTAGGTTCGGCGAGTGGCCGGTTTCTGTGCATTAAAAGCAGGACATGGCAGACAGCTGGTGAAAAATCTACATGGAAAGATGCCACACCATCAGTCAAAGGAAGGTGGGATCTGGGTGAAGGACTCGCTCGCGTTGTTGCAAAAGCAGATCGTGGGCAGATGGGAGAGGGAGAAAAATGTCCTGGGTGAACTGAAGTAGGTGGAAGAACCATGGTTGTCTCAGCCACCACGGGGTTAGGATGCAGTGAATCCGATTGTGAAGAATCTTGCATATCCGCTAACAGCTTCATGACGTCAGCTCCTCTTCCGGCCTCAGACTCTGACTACCAGGCTTCGCTTTAAACTTTCCTTGGGATGCCGCCATTTTTCAACTTTGTTTACACTTTCAAACTGCTTCTCCCGGGCTCGAAGCACTCGTCAATTCGCTATTTGCACTCAAGTAAGTCTCTCAAAATACACACGCTGTCTGTTTCCTCCCACTCCCCCTTCGCTGTGTTTATCTGTCCTTGTGCTTCAGAGGCGTCCCTCTTTGCACTCCGCTTTTCCCACGGGGGGGGGGGTGCCGTTTATCAAAGTTCGTTTACTTAGAACTCACGTTCATTGTTGGTCACATTCCTGACCTCGCTCACATCAATCGTTGTTCCGCTCGGTCTCCCCCGCTTGTCCCGGTCGGGTTAGCTTGTGCCCTAAGGCCACTCATCGGTAGGACTGTCAGAGCGGAGGGAAGCCTTGATTCTCCCTAACCCTCAAAGCTCTCTGGCCTGGAGCCTTTCACAAAGGCTCCATGGGAGTGCCACTTGAGGTGGCACCCCTCCATGCCGATGGTGTGCTAATCACCTCCCCAAGCTCTGGGGAGAGCAACCACCATCGCCAGTCCATAGACCAGGAGAAGGATGGAATACATTCCTTTGAAAAGCTGATCCTGGGACACTTGTTCTACGGCTCCAATTTGGAAGATATGTACTACAGCCTACAACATCAGGAAAGGCCACGGAGAATGTCATCCATCCACATCACAATGGCTCTGCAGAAATTTGAGATAACTGCAGAAGTTCTGATGGCTAGGTGGGAGGCTTCATGCAACTTCTTCAGTGCTACTTCTTTTTTCTGTGTAAGGCATTGTAGCCATACTTTGATAACACAGCCCCAGAATGCAGAGAAGCCGCCAGGGCACTGACCAAAAGAACTTTTTACTCCATAACTGAGTTAGGAAGGGAGTAGATTTTTTAATCTATAGTAAGCAAGCTGTTGCCTGAACCAGGCACAGTGCCTTTTGCTCTTCTAGCGTCCTCAAAATGCTCAGGGAAGAGGGAAACAAACAGTTTCTTAAAGCCTCGCTTGTCTAGATTGGAAGAGGTTAAAGGTTTAAACTGATCCATGGAATCCTGTTTACAGCTGAGAGCTTGAATTACTTTGAGTAAAATCTAGTAAAGTGTTCTGCCTGGAATAATCTAATGGAAATTTCAGGGGTAGGGATATCCTCACCTGACCATTCCCCTTCTTTTTCAGAGGCTACCAGCCCAGTTCTAATGACAGACTGTCATTCCTCATTATGCTCAGTAGAGGGCAGTGGCACCTCCTACTTGTTGGGCACATGCTGGCTGCCCTCGGAGAGGGTGAAGATTCAAAAGCCCTATGAGAGTGGGCCATTCACTTAGCTCCTTTCCTGGGCTCTGGAGAGGAATCTGAGAATTCACCAGATAATTAGACAGGAAACTCAGCACCTCCTCTGCACCTGCCAGGGTGTTTTTTTTTAAATGTATAGGATGCCTCCTGAGAAGAGAAGGGAAGGAATCCAAGTGAAGGGTGTTGTTGGTCTTCAAATATTTCCATGTAGGCCTGCCCTTCTGCAGTCCCATGTGGCATTGCACAAAAGACACAAATGTCAACTGAAGTAAGTAACTACTAAATGCAATGAATAACAGAAGTGTAGTCCAGTCTGTTAAGCCATTGTGGACACACATATATATGTTCTGAAAGCAATCCTATTAAAAATCTGTCAGAAACTGAGATGCCAAAGAATGGAAAGGGATGCCTTGTCCCCATCCATACAGCTATCTAGAGTGGAACTTCCATTGTCTGGTTTTGGGATGCCATCACTCTGCCTGCCTGCTCAGATCCACCAGATTTGCATAGTAGTGACGGCAAGGAGTGGAGGAATATGTCTCTCACCTACTGACATATTTACAAGGCTGTACACTATGCTTTTGACCTCTGTACATTTGATGATTATTTAAGCCAGGTAAACAGAACACATTCCATCTGCATAAAGCTCTCATTGTACCCTTATATGAAAAACTGGGTGTCTTTTGTAAATTATGGGTAAGCCTCTGTTTCTGGCATGTTATGCAGGCAACCTCTAAATTAAAATGGGAATCCTGGTGGAAAGCTACTTGGAGTGGCTCGGTATGTGTCCCTTAACTTTATAGGATAAATGGCAAAGGCAGAAAGCTTACGCACCAAATGGCTTTTGAAAACGTAAGTGAAAGGTTTGCATTCAACACTATCAAAACATTCCAGGGAGCACCACAGTTCTGAAAAAACAACCACTTTAATTAGACAACTGCAAGCACCTCAAACAATAGGTTATTGTTACAACACGGGGTACCACCTCACAATCTAGTTATTGCAAAAGCATGTGAATAAATTTAAAATGGACAAAGTCAAGAAAAAGTGGCACCATAATTAATGTGTAAAACCAGAAAAAAATTACATTCATCCCACTGACTTCTAAAAGAGGCTAAAACACACCTCCATATTTTACATTCTAAAATCTGTATTGCCTATGAGTTCTCTTTTGGAATCTACTTAGGTTTTTTCCTAGGAAAGCACTTAAAATTTTGTGTGCAATTTACAAAGGAAGATTTGTTCCTTAATATGTCAATTCATGGGAAAAATAAGCTAGTGCAATTTGTTTTAGAAACATATAAAGCTATATGTGGAAGGAGCGTGATCTTTTTTTGTTTTACTATAAATTTAGAATCCACTCTGTTCTTCCTTTTTCTTCCTGAAGAGGTAACATATTTTTTCTTTCTTTGAAGTTTAAAGAGTCTGCCCAAAGAATCCTTCCTCAAATATTTTCCAATTATTAAGCCTAATACATTAATCAGAAAGCAATACTACCAAGCCTTCCCATCCCAATTCAGTGCAGAGCAAGTAATCCTATTTCTCCTTAAAAGCAGTTGAAACAGGCAGATCGTCCCTAGTAGTGCTGAAATGACAACACTACTGAGTTCTCCTTGGAAAGAAGTCTTTGCCTTCCTTTACAAACCCTTCTATGGAGAATGAAATGTCATAAATAGGAGCAACTGGCTTTCAAATCCAGCCTGGGCACTGCTACAAAAGGAGATCATGACACTGTTCCTAGCAGCAGCTTCAAATCTGCTGCATGCTGGTTGGATGCTGCAGGTCTCTGGATTTTGTAGCATTACTTTACAATTTGTGTGTGTGTCCCCTCCCCCATCCCATTTTTAATGGAAGTAAACATTTACAGGGTGCATTTACATACAGTATTTTACAAAAAAAATTGTCCCTTTGCCAGAAGATAGAATTGTACATTTCCCCCCCAATTCTGACTTGGTAATGCCTCACGCTTGTAAATTATATAATACTCAGCTAAAATATTTTCCATAAATAGTTACAAAACCTGTCAAAACACATGAGAGGAGAATAAAGGGTGTTTTTGTTCAAAAAGTGGATGTCTGAATGCCACACAACACAAGAAACGATGCTTGAAGACACATTAGTGTTTTCTGAAGAGAGTCAGTAAAACTACCAGCTGAAGACAAAAAGACCACCCCTCCCAAAAACACAGTGCACAGAAAGCAAAATGTCAAACAGTACCTCAAAGCAAAATAAAGATCTGGGGTTGAAGCCAGCTCATTTATGATCCTGTTAAAGAGAACTTATGACAGTCACCGTTTACGGTCTGATGTGTAGAGACATGGGTGCCTGGCCCAGGGTGAGAGTTGGAGATTCTGCTAAAAATTCAACCATGGATGCCTGAGGCATTCGCCCGCTGAGGCCCGCTTCTCTGGAACCATTTCTAGCATAGGGATCAGGAAATCTGTAAACTCTGCTGCATCTTCTTGAGGCCAACCATACTTCTCCACAAGGACATCAAAGAGGCTCCAAGGTTTCAGCTTTGTAATGTGTCGAAGTTCTCCTGCATTGGGGAAAGAACCAATTAATATGACAACTGACTTCATCAGGACTTTGTACCTGGATGATTTTCAGCCTTGGGTGATAATTTCACCTGACCATGAAAAACCTTTTTTAATCACAAGCCAATGCATAAAGAGGCTTGAATGCATACAATCATACATCTGGATATGTTCGTCCTTCCTACTGGCAAAGAATCAAGGTGAGTAGTAATTGGAGCCTGTGTATCAAAATAATATACGTAAACACATGCCACTTACCTCTCTTCTACCCATGAACTACAGAACTGGAAACTGACATGCATTTTCCCCCCTATCTCTGCCTTACATAAAAATAAAGGTATACACTGAATTCAAAGTTTAGTGCCCACAAATTTTGGACAAAAGACTACCGTATCTAAGAGCTCGACTTCAGCAGGATTTTATATAGAAAAGGGTTAATGTTTGTAAATGTTAACAAAGAATCAGAATTCATAAACAAATACCAGAACATTAAGTACATAAACACAGAACAGATGCCAGGGGAAGACCTTAGAAAGCAGCCAGGCTGGCCCTGCAACTTCTCAATGATGGCTGTTACAATCTGCAGGCAGGTAATCCTTGCTGAAGCTAAGGTGGGCTAGGTCTGGTCAGGGCTGCCTTGGGAGATCCCCTGGGAATCCCACGTATCCCATGCTTTGGTTTCAGTGACAGAAAAAAGACGGATATCGCCCACACGGGCAAAAAAGAGCAGGAAAACCTAGTCACTGGAGGAAGTGCTACGGGGCATTTTACACAGCACCCCATAACACTTCAAGAATGATAGGAGAAATTAAAGACCGCTTGGAAGCAGTTTGAGGTAAAAACGGCTCAGGAACGCTTCCTGAACGGGACAGAAGTGTTTCTGTCTGAAAGGCGAAATATATTCCGGAAATTACAAATATAAACCGTTAGTGAACAGTTCCTGAAACGGAACATTTCGGCTGTCTGAAATTCCCCGTTGTCTTTGGCCTGGAACTCCTTGATAGCTTTGGCACCTCTCCTTCCAATGAAATGGGGACAGGGCAGCCCGCCCACCCCCACATCCCTTTTACTGACCCTCCTTAAGAAACACAGGGAGGGAACTCCTTGCCTTGAATTTTATTTGCAACATTTATAACCCAAAAGTGGAAATGGAATGAAGGATTCCCGTGACAGTTTGCACCAGAGCTGCAGCAACTGGAAAGAAGATTTGAGGAACCTGTTTGGTTAGTGGCCACACAAGACCCTTAATCCTTGAGACACAAAGAAATGCAGGTGAGAGGGGACTCTAAATCCTAACTTAGGGGAGACTGCAAACCTGTAATGTTTCTGTTTGGAGACTCCAAGCTTCTAGTAGGAGGTGTCACAACATGAACTGTTACTGAAAATTGCAAACCGGACCTCACTTACAATACAAACTCACTTAGCTAAACCTCCATACCATTCTTACAGTACATTGATCTATGCAAACAAATGTAACTATTCCCCAATTCATTTTAACATTCCCACATCTTGGATGTTGCAGTCTTCCAGCACGAGGGTTAAGTAAAACTAAAATAAGGTAAAGACCACTGGGTGAATGGAACAAGAGATGCTGACTGTCGTGAGCCAGGGAAATGCATGCTTTGATGCATCTGGATATTTTTTACAATGATGCTGTCTTTCCTCTGTTGTTGGGTAATAAAGTGATCAATAGGAATCCAGAGACATGAAGGCAGTTAACTTCTTAGATAAGTATGAGGAGTTCCTCAGACATCTAACTTATGCTAGACCCGTTCCATAGGATGGCTGGGATCACTACAGATTGAAGACAGAACAAAGAGTTAACAGATGGCAAGAAAGATGGGTTAGTGCATAAGGTCACCCAAACCTCCCAAGAGGAGCAAAGCTCATCTCTGAGCCAGAGGAAAGACAGCTCTGAAGCCTTCCTTGCTGATGCTGAAAGGAAGCCTGATCTGACTTGTTGGATCTCTTCCCTTGTTTGGAAAAAGAGGGCTTTGGCTTCTTTGTTCCCTTGATTTCCACCAGGACTTCATCCGGTACAGAACCCCCGAGAATCCAGAGGCTCTGTTGATCTTAAGGAGGTCCCATGGGTACCTGAATGGACAGAAGCTAGGACCTAAAGTGAATTCTCAGCCCTGATTGTGGATGTTCTGCTCAGACAGCAAGGCTGCACTTGCTCTGAAGGCAAGGTCTGGGACCTCATGGGCTCTTTAAGGGAGTTGTCTCTATAAATTTAGAAGAATTGCACATGAAACAAGACAGCAATCAAGGTTTATTCTAGAACAACCTACAGGGCTGCATATATTTGCCAAGGCCTCCTGGACATGCAGATGGAATGTGAGATGCCAGCTTGAACTTAGCTGTGGACTGCTCTATAGATGGGACTGTCCACCACCACTGCTAGCTGTCCACCCCCCCATCCCTGCTGCTACTTCAGCTGGGGAGAGGATAGCAGCAGAAGAAGAGGCGTTGGAGTGATTGATCCTGCAAAGCCTTAGAAGCCAGAGTGGCCTTCCCCAGAAAGGAGTGAAAGTTCCTCCTGCTGTAGAAAGCTGGTAGAGACTGGGCCAGAAGTGGAAGAAAAACCCCCAAATATGACCATTCCCCCTCTTCCTAAATTGAAATCATGAAGGCTGAAACAGACTTGGAGCACAGTGTCTAAGAATGGCAAGAGGAGGCACAGGGTCTGAAGTGTGAGGGTGGAGCTGAGTGCTGGCCTCATGGTCTGCTGGCCTATAAGAAGAGCTAAAATGGCTGCTTCTCTGAGTAGTTCTGAGATCCAGGGTTTAGGAGCCAGGCTCCTCTGAGGAATGGCTGGATATGTGGGATGCCCCGTAGTGCAGGGTGGAAGGTTTCGAAGAAATCTTCATCTCTCTGTCTGTGGCACTGCTTTTCCCCATCTTAAAGCCCTTTCTCCCTCAAATTGCACTTAACATCCTTCATACCCAAGCATACTGTACGGACAAAGGGCTGGGTAAGTGAGCCAAGGATGATGGTGGGAACAGAAAAGGAGAGCCCCTTCCACTGGTGTTATCTGTTGCCCTCCCCACTGCCACTAGCCTCGGGAGTCCTTCCTGCAGCCAAGGAAGACGGCGGGGGGAGCAGCTTTCAGCAAGAATACTTGCTGGGGCCTCCTGGCTTTGTGTAGTCAATGGGGTGAAAGGTGCTGGCTCAGAAGATCTGTAGGTGGCTTTCTTCAATGAACCCATCCACCACCAGTACTTCAGTGTATCCACTCCATGTCCCTGTGGGTGCCTCAGCAAGGGAGACAAGACCAGCAGCTGAAGAACAGGTGCCACTGTTGCAGTCAGAAGTGCTGTAGGCAGCTCTGTCGATGGGCCTGTCCACCACTGGTAGTTGAGAGTGGGAAAGGGCCAGCTGTCTACTCCCCATCCATGTTGGTGCCTTGGTAGGGGGAGAGGAGAGTGGCAGCTGAAGAACAGATGCTGATGTTGCAGAGGCTAGTGCTGGGATCCCAGGGGAAAGAGGGGTGAGTCTTTTCTATAATGGTGGCTCAAGTACAGTAGTGCCCTGGGGCACTGTTCCATTCAAGACAACTTAATATACTTTCCACCACTGCCACTTGTAAGTGAGAGACAGATTTTTTTAGTCTTTTTGCCTGTGTTTTTAATAAGCAAGATGAGAGAGCTGTGGAAGCTCATCCATCCACAGAGTGGACACAGGGTATGGCCTGGAGACGAGGAGAACCTCTTCACAATAGTGGAAGCCTTTGCAAGAAATTTGCATATGATCTGCACACAGAGCAAGGGGCAGGCACAACCCATACATGGATACCTTCCTCCACTGATGGAGAAGTTGTAATTCTATTATAAAAAATCTTCTAGATAATATTTGTGGTATTTACACTACAGCAACAATCCACAGATCCCTGTGTCCATGTGGGAAACAGGCAGCACAGATAAACTCTTCTGGGAAAAGAAGGGCCAAAGGGATGCCTGGATCCACTCCCCGCCTCCAAAGAGATGTTTGTGCACCTACACAGATTCATCTAAAAGCATTTTATTTATTTACTAGCCTGATACCCGTGCTTTGCTATGGTATTTAACTTCCATAAATCCAGTTATAATACCGATGATGTACAGTTTGAAATGGAAGATTTGTTGTAGGAATTCTAATGGAGAAGACTGTAGTGTAAAAAATGAAGTGAGACATACATACTTTTTTTTCTCTACTAAAGGACCTCTCTGTAGACTGCTGGGGTGGGCTCCCTCGTGGCTTTAAGCACCCTGCAGCTGCTACTGCACCTGACAGACAACTGCCTGTTAGGTGTAGGAGGTGGGGGGAGTGTGTTAGAAGTCATCAGAGAGGCTGGGCCAGCAGCATCGCTAAGGTGATCCTGCTGGGGTGGCGTCCCTGATGGATTAAAGTACCCTGGTCCGGCTTCTACACCTGACAGACCACCCGCCTGTCTGTTGTTGGGGGGATTATATTTAAAGGCATCAGGGAGGCTAGGCCAGCAGCAGGGCTAAGGCAATCTTGCTGAGCAAACCTCCCCAGCGGCTGTAAGCATCCCACCTCCTCTCCTACACCTGACAGGCAGCTGCCTGTCCAGTGTAGGAGGGGGAGGGGGGAGGAGTATTAGAAGCCACTGTGGAGGTGGGGCTGGCAGGATCATTAAGGTGTTACTGCTGGGGCAAGCTTCCTCACGGCTTTAAGCACCCTGCAACTGACACCTGTCAGGTGTAGGAGGGGGGAGCATGTTTGAAGTCATAGGGAGGCTGGGCCAGCAGCTTTGCTTCACCTCACAGGCGGTTGGCCACACGGAGGAATCTTCCAAGAAAGCTTGGAGCTGTTCAGCTATTGCTCTCTCAACTACCATACCCAGAAACGGGACGTTCGAAACTGGGTGGTAGTTGGCTGGAGCCATAGGGTGCAAAGATGGATTTTTCAAGAGTGGTCTCCCCACTACCTCTTTTAATGTCTCTGGGAAAGTCCCAGTACTCAGGGACAAGTTGATAATATTTGCCAGGTGGGCCTGTATTCCATCACTGCCAGCTTTCACTAGCCATGATGGACACAAGTCCAAGGGGCAAGTGGTAGGGTTCACAGCACACAGGATCCTGTCAACCTCATCCTGGGAGAGTCAGCTGAAATGGTCCATTACTGGACCTGAAGTTGGGCAAGGGGCCTCCAGTTCTTGTACTGTATTAATAGTAGCTGGCAGGTCCTGGCAGACTGACAAGATTTTATTTGCAAAATAGTTTCCAAAAGCCTCACAGCTAACAGCCAATTTAGAATCTTTTTAGGATCCCTGTGAAAGGGATGTAAGCGACCTGATTACTCTGAACAATTGAGCTCAGCAGAAGTTTGCAGATGCAATGGAAGTCACATAGAATTCCTTCTTTGCAGTTTTCATTGCCATCTCACAGGTTTTCATAAACGTCCTATAAGATGTTCTTGCAACTCCACCAAGAGTCCACTGACACCTGCCGTCTCAGCTCCCATTTCATCCTTTGAAGCTCATAAACACAACACAGAATGCTACATGAAAGGCTTTATGCTCTTTTGGGTAAACCAAAAAAGGTTGAAAGCAAAAAGACATATTGATGTCACATTGTCCCTGATAAGGCAATTTTCCTTGCATTCTTAGGACCTAAACTGGAAGGTACATATTGGTACTGATATTATTTCCAGTATATGCAACTACTTCTGACACAGATATATTTGTGGCCCCAAATAAAAATCTTTTGGTGTGTCATTCAATTCCATATTGGAACATTCCATTTTTGGTCCTCTATTAATTACATGTGTAACAAGGACTTTGTTGCCTGGAGTATTTTGTACTTTGTACTATTTGACCTCTGAAGAAGGTTCTTCTGAGCTAAAACACATTGGGTCATACACTGTTCTTTTTTGTGTAATTGTTACTTGGAACATTTTATGAGGCTTTATTTGGGCCCCTACAAAGTTTTAAAATGTCTTTGAAATAAACGCTCTTTTGTCTATACTTATTTATGTTTTAAACTTTTGGCCCTTCATAAGTTTTCTAAACTTTCTTTGGAGGTTTTTGAGAGCAAAAAGAAACAGAAAAAAGTAGTATGATGCAATATATAAATGAACAAATTCACTTATGTGCAAAAACATAGCACCAGTAATTTAATATACAAGCAAATCCAAAACAGGAAACAATTGTGCGCATACAATAAAAGAAAATAACATACACTGGCAAATACAATAAAACAGAATGCCAAACGTATTTTGGTACAAAGCCTTCCTCAGTGGTTTCTGACCATAACCAGCAAGATAACCAAATTAAATATTTCCACATCTGGGTATCTCTGGTCCACATAACTCCATCAATATATGTGTGTGATATTAGCACAGCAACACACTCACACATTTATATTGCTGTTATTATTTGGACCAGAGATAACCCAGACATGGAAATATTTGAAGACTTATTTTATATAAGGAGTATTTAATTGACTTCTAAAAATTAATTTGGTTATCTTGCTGTTTCTTATTATTTCTTATGTCTTTTATGGTGTGAGTTAGATATGATTATGCTAATTATGGTCATAAGCCACTGATGGAAGCTTGGTATATATTAACATATTGCATCATACTACTTTTTTCTGTTTCTTTGTGCTCTCAACCTTTTTTGGTTTACCCTATCTTTTTTAGTTGGGTATTTTCCCCTTTTTGTGTGGTTTATGCCCTTTGGCACAAATCAATAACAAGCAGCAACACTTTTGTACATGGAAGTTTAATTCTGTGTACAGATTTCTAGAAGCCATTGGAAATTTGTCATCTAGTTATTGAAAACAAATCACATTTTTTAATTGTTAGCTAATTCACCTGTACATGTACATGAACACATTGCATGGCAGTTAAACATTACAAGGAAGTATTTCAGAGAAAGAGATTCTTATTAATTTTCACCTTAATACTGGAAATTTACTTCCAACAATCACTCTACATTACTACTCATTGAAACGGATGAAAGCCTATCTGTGCTGCTAGACATCAATCAGACACTGAATCCATAATTCACACCAGACTGTGTCCAATATCACCACCAGTAATCTTCTGGCCATTCACTAAGGTTTCAAGGATGCTACAGGAAAGAGTACCCCCATAATGGCCCATGCCAGCTGTAAAATAATATTTTTAATTTATAGGACAAACTTTAAGTGACCAAATACATTGGGGAAAGAACCCTTTCACTTGAAAATATGAAGTTAGAGATGTAAATGTTGATACGTTGATTTTTGTGATTTGAATGTTTGCTCCATAAATGAATAAAAATATTATCATTCGTTGTTCAAAAATTAAAAAATTAGCAACAAAACACAGAAGACAGGGCAGCTTGGCAAGAGAATTAAGTATTCACCACTTAATTACTTTAAAATTTTTGATTATGATCAACAGAGCTTATTTTCATATGCCTATCCAAAGACACCAAATACAACGCTGACATGGATGCCTGAACACGAGCAATGCAAGCCCAATTTACCAACAACCCTGCAGAGATATCCTTCTGGTGGTAACAATTAAAGAGTGTTCAAAACCAATATGGCAATATTAAACAACCATTATCAGCCATATTTTATATTTTGACCTTGCATATTCTCCCCTCACCCATTTCTTTCATGTCTCAGACACTATCACTGTGATGATTAAAACATACAATATTAAAAGGAGGCAACAGTGCAATGTAAATGTTTTCTCCCTCATTTTAGAGCTGCCAGAAAAAAATGGAATTTTTATTCAACCAATTTTCAGGACTGTAGTAAGAAGGAAGAGCAATTTTATTTAGGGCCAAATGTTGTGGATAGTCTAACTCAATACATACTTTTTAAAAAAAATCTACCATTGCCTATGTTTCTTACAAATGTCAAGTTCACATGTACACACCTTTAAAACAAGCTCTTAAAAACCAATATGCTTTTACCTATTAATAAATGTATACAGTCTTCTTTTGGAAAGAGCTGTTACCTTTTCTGGTGAAAAACTCCTTGGAATATTTCCCCAACATAGCGTATTTTCGAGGGATTTTCCCCAGCAGTTCAATGATCAATGCTATGTGATCTGCATTGGAGAACATTTCCAGCAAAACAGAAACATACAACAGTTTAATCAGTACGATGCATGCACACACCAATGCTGGCCCAGTACAGACAGAAACAGATTACCTCTGGTTGAAAAATGTTAGACTGTGTGGATAAAGGATTTATTCATTTGCAGTGTAATTTAGAAAAGCAATTCATTTGGCCAAAAGAAGTGAAAAGGTGAATTGCATTGTTTGTTTGGTTTGCACCAAATGAAACAATCTTTCAGTTCCTTTTCATTTGTTTTGTAAACAGAGACTTTTGAGATAATTTTGGGAAATGCGTTTTAGTGGCACAGCTACTGCCAAGTCCACTTCTGTCTGCATCAGGGCACCTTTCCAAAAGAGGAGGTACTACCTCTGCGATTGAAGAATTCCCGAGAATATTTTCCAGAGAGAGCAAAGTGCCTTGGGATATTGCCTAGCAGCTCTATGATGTGTGCTATGTGGTCTATGGAAGAGAGAGAAAAGGACACAGGAATGGGAAAGGCAGGGAGCGGATGGGATAAAAAAAGAGGAAAGAAACAGGAATTAGTTTAAAAAATCCAAAAGAGTTCCAAAAACAAACAATGCTTGCAGCAAACCCATGCACAGGATTCCAGAACCAGCAGGACTCTGGTATAATTAGTAGCACATGGGGGAGGGGAGAAAAATCACTGATGCCCATGGTGTTACCACTGCAAAGGACACTGTACACAGGTAAGCATGGAAAGATGGACAGGCACACAGATGAAAGCAGGAATTAATTCTGGCTAGTATGCTTTTCATTTAGTAATCAGCTGAACGCACAGAATACTCAAGAGTTGCAAAATACACCTAGTCTGCTATCAAAGTTGCATCCAAACTATGGCAGATGTTTACAAAATGCTGTAGTGTTTCAATGTTTCCACACAGATGCAGATCTTACAAGACAGGAGACTAATCCTTTCAAGGCTTAGGGAAGAGAAGGGTGTCTGCAGAAAGACTTGCCCACCTACTGCTACTCATAGGACTTTGAAACTAAAAAGGAAAAACGTGATGTTTATATTCTGAAATTAGAACTTTAAAAAAAAATCTACTTAAACAAAAATGAATGCCTCTCTGCATTCATCTGCATCTTGGAAAAGGCACAGGGCAAAAGCTGGATGTTTAAAAAGACAGATACCCTCATCTCTGGAATAGTCTTCTCCAGAATGTGGTTCAAAGAGATAATCACCAGTTGCGAGTTCAAATGCCTAAAATAAAACAGAAAGTGATGAGTGTTTCAGAAGTAACTAATATTCCCCTCCAAACACAATACCATGTTATATATAGAATTACACTGAAACAATACTTTAAAAGGCAATTCAAATGAAGAGCAGCGCCTAGAAGTCATTACAGCTATCTTCTGCATGAAACTTCAGGTTCCATTCCGAAGAATCTAAACAGTTTCGTGAGTCACCCTCAGGAGGTTGGATATGCCCAGTGAGCCTTCTCCTCTGTTGCGATCTTCGAAAAACAGGCCACAATGCAATATATTACAGCACCTCTCAGTCAGTTTCAAAGGGGGTCCTATGCATGACATTGAAAGTTATCAAGAAAATACAATCCCAAAGCCCTCCTGCACATGTTCTTCGAATCCCAGCCCAGAGCCCGTTAAGAGATCCAAGGTAGTAAGGTAGGGGAAAACCCAGAGCCTGAGGCATTCAAGAGGCCCACTCCATGGCAGAACTCACAGTTTTAACCTATGGTAGCCCACAGCTGAAATAGGATGAGACGGGTAACTTTATCCAGAACCAGTGATACTGAGTTATCTCCACTGGCTCCTCACATCTGTTAAGAAAGCTGCTGGCCTGACATGTTTTTAGATTATTTCCCCTGCTTGCTAACCCTTTCCCCTGTTTTTAAACAGCTGAAGTTAGAGGGCATTTTAAACCATGTTCAGAATTTAAATTTTTATCTGATAACTTCTGAACTCAAAATTATGTACATAACATGAGTTCACAAAAGGATTTAGCGCAGACAATTTTTCCCCACACAGGAATACTGTGCACAGAAAGTAAATTGGGTAAACAAATCTATATGTCTTTATATTGTACTTATGTCCCTAGAAAACTGAACATGGTATTGTGAACTTTTTATTTATTTATTACAGGGGGAAATTAGTGCACTACATTACAGGGAAAAACAGCACTACAATTTTGAGGATGAGCACTTGACATTATACATGATACAAGAAAACTGGCAAGAAACCATAGGGGGAAAGCTTACTGAGAAATCAGATGTAATCTGATTTTGGACTGCTTATCTGATTAAATTCCATTACACTTGGAATTATATTTCTGTAGCCAACATACCATATTTTTACTATTTCTTCCTTAGCAAGCTTACCTTCCAGTTCATTTCTCATCTCACAGCTGTGCTCCTAATTCAAACTATTACACTGAGTATAACCCCCAGTGCTCTGACCTGGAAGCTAAGCAGGGTCAGCCCTGGTCAGAAAGAAGACCACCAAGGAATACCAGGATTGCTACACATAGGCAGGCAATGGCAAACCACCTCTGAATATCTCTTGCCTTGGTTGTGACCTGATGGCCAAAAAAACCTGTATTCAACAAAATTAACTACAGTTCTAGAGGAAACTAATAGCCACTCAACCAGTGCACTGAAAATGAAATTGACTAAGGTTTTCTTAATGACTGAAAGCTTTGGTTAATTTCTTATTCAGTAAACTGGGAGAACACTCAGGATATTAATTTGGACGAGAATGCAACTCAGAAACCAGGAACTTGAACTGGAAGTTAAGTTTGTTTAGTTGCAAAACCCCCGAAAGGGGGTGGGGGCTGCTTAGATCACACTGGGGATGCGAGAACTTGCACTTTTTATGAGGTGCTCTGTTAAACAGCAAGTGGCAATTTTGGATTCCTTGTGCAACAATGTCAGTTTACATTGCAGTCTCCTCTTGATACTTTTCTGACAAATTTCATGGCAGTGGCACTATTCAGACCTCATGAACTTCGGAGGGGGGTAGGATGTAATGGGTATAAAATGTATAACTAATGTTGGTTGTGATTGATTATATCCTGAATAAAATTTTGTAAAAAAAAAAAAAGACCTCATGAACTTCAGCTTTCTCTTTGTGACAGGCAAGCAACTGATTAGCAGCCATTCTAGCACACTCCTTTCTTCCCGCTGCATACAACACACACCTGAAGACTTTCTGGTTCTTCAATCTAGCTCCAACTAGTAATGCAGTTGCTTTTATTTTTTGCCATCAAGTCTCAGCTGACTTATGGCAACCACATGGGGTTTTCAAGGCAAGTTACATTGGTGGTCTCTGTTCCACATATTCGTTGGTGGTCTCTGTTCCACATATTGACCTGGGCTGACCCAGCTAAGCTTCCAAGATCTGATAAGATCAGTCTAGCCTGGACAGTTGCTTAGGGCTTGATTATAGACACTGAGCTGTATAACGCATTCTGGGTGGTAGCTGAGAGTAAGTCAGTAGGTTTCTGGTATACAATATGTCAATCACATAGTTGTACACTGATATCCAGAGTGTAAACAGAGTGTAGTCCAGACTCAGGTTAGTGGTGGGGTGGACACTGTTAAAGTCCCAGTGGAATTTCTCAAGGGCCTCCTTCTCTTGCATACAGACACTGAAGATGGTATGTGACGATACATTTTCATACTCTTTTTTTTCCAATAAGTGTTTTTTATTTTGAACAATATATACAACAGTACATTCATAACATATATTGACGCTATGAAATAATCAACTTTCTCAACCCTTAAGAGCCCTTTTAAAAATATAACAGATCTTTGTAATAAGAGTTGTTTGGAATCACTTCTTCTTCTGCTAGATAGTTCACCACTGGGAACCAAATTGCTTGAAAACTTTTTTGGTGAGAGACAATTTTACCATATATAAAGTGCTCCCAAAGTTTGTTTTGCCAACATTGGAGAGTAGGTTGATTTTTGTTCTTCCAATACTGGGCTATAGTTATGCGTGCAATAGCTAATAATGTTGCTATTAATGTTCTAGTGACTTTTCTTTCACAGGCATCTGGGATGACATCCAACAAGACCGTTTCAGGTAGAAAAGGTAAGCTGATTCCCGTGATTTTGTGAATTTGTTGTACAATTTGTGTCCAGAACTGTTGTGATGAGGGACAGGACCACCAACAGTGTATAAAATCTCCAGTCTTCCCACATTTTTTCCAGCAGAGTTTGTTTATTTTTGGATCAATTTTATTTAGCC